GATGGATGGTGCTCCCAACCTCTATTCTGGTCATAGATGTGGGATTAGGCAGAGCCAGGAACTCACTGAGAAAATACAGAAATAACATCTCAGAGATGGCTGGGTCACGCCTGTAATTCTAGCATTTTGGGAGGCCGAGGCAGGCAAATTGCCTGAGCTCATGGGTTTGAGACCAACCTGAGCAAGAGTAAGCGAGACCTCATCTCTAAAAATAGCCAGCCAGCCAGGCCTGTGGTGGGCACCTATAGTCCCAGCTACTTGGGAAGCTGAGACAAGAGAATTGCTTGAGGTTTCTGTGAGCTATGATGCCATGGCACTGTACCGAGGGTGACAATGTAAGACTCTGTCTCAAAAAAAAAAAAAAAAATCTCAGGAACTATGATGAGATCTGAAGGAGAGAACGGTGCTGACACACTGGAGAGGAACTTAGGAGCTCAGGAAGGTTTGTGAGGCAGTCTCTGCAAGATCAGAGTGGGCTGGCATTTTGCAGAGCTCAGGGAGCAGAGAACCAGGTGGAGAAAATAGGAAATACCCAGGCCCTGAGGTGGGCACATGGGGGAGCTTGGAACTCTGGCCACAGGTATATAGGCCCCCCACATTTGATGAGCAGGGAAGCAGGCCATGACACTTAAAGGAGTGAGGGAGGAAGATGGTGAAATGCACTCACTCAATTACGTAGTTTTGATTTTCACATTATGCAAATGGAAGGAACCGTATCTATGTCCCGGCTGGAAATGGGTCGTGCGTGTAACAGGGATGGTTCATGAAGGTAGAAGGCCCCTCCCTAAGAGGCTGAGGAGTTAGAAATGTCGTCTTCTCCTCCCTCTACTTTGAACCTCTGCCCCGTCATAAGTGACCAGGAGGGCTGGCGTGGAGGACAGGGATGGGGGGAAGTAGGGACTGATAGTCATAGTCTCTGAGGTGGCTGTCCCCTCGACTGCCCTGGCCCTATTCCATGCTGTGTCTGACCTTGCTTTCTCATCATCCTAGGCTTTCCTCTACAAATTTTTTGGCTTCACCCTGCGAACCTCAAGGAATTCGAAACTGGTGCAGACGATGCTCTCCGCCTTGCTAGACACCTCCCATAAGGAGCTGCAAGAGAGGGAGGTGAGGTGGAGGACCCTGGCAAAGGGGTTGCTCTGAGTTTTAGAGGCAGGATGGCAAGGTGGCCAAGAGCTCAGACATTGCAAGTCAGGTCCCCTGGGTTGGAGTCTCAGCTCTGCTACTTCCTAGCGGTATGCCCTTGGTGGGTGTTATGAAGCTATGTGTGCCTCCATTTCCTCCTCTGTAAAATGAGACTATGGTGCCTTCCTCATGGAAGATTGTCTAAAAAGCTTTCTATTTTGGAATCATTTCACACTTATAGAAAAATTGCAAATAACAAACACAAAGGCAGAAAGAGTTTCTGTAACTCTTCTTCCAGATTCCCTCAAATCTTAACATTTTCCCATGACTGCACTGTCCTTCTCTCTCTCCACATTTACCACGTTATTATAATCTTTTCTTTTATGAATCATTCCAGGAAGTTGCAGACATGATAACATGATATTCATTGACATCTGTGTAATATCAGTAGGTATTACCTAAAAGTAAAGGTCTTCTCTGACGTGACCTCAGGGCAGTGATCAAAATCAGGATACTAGTATTGCTACAATGCTGTTATCCAATTTAGATACCTGATTCAAAAATTGCCACCTGTCCACGCAATGGGCTTTAGCGTGAAAGAAAAAAACGATCCTTCCAGTCTAGCCTCTAATTTACAATCTAATAGTGCATTTAGTTGCCATTTCTCTTGAATCATTTTAAACTTGAAACAGTTCCTCTGTCTTCATCTTTGGTGATACTGAGAAGTACAGATCATTTATTTTATAGAACATCTCTCCTTTTTGGTCCGTCTCCTGTTTCCTCATGATGAGATTTTGCTTCTATATTTTTGGCGGGAATACCTCAGAAGATCTGTGTGTCCTAGGGTGGTTTTGAGGACTTAGAACAGTGTTGGCTGTGGGTAGAGTTTCTGGCAATATCCTCTTGCCTCCCCTCTCCAGTCACCCCCACCAGAGGCTCCTCCCTCACCATTGTGGCTATTGTTAGCTCTGTCCTGAGCCCAGTTAGCAGATGGTGCCACTAGGGAAACAAGACATGGGCAGGAAGAAAACACCTCACTACCCAAAAGAGTCTTTCTAAAGTCTCCAGTACAGAGTTACCTGGGCTAGTGGGGACTAGTGATGGAGAAGGAGGGAAGCAGGGACTCCTACTTGACAGTGACATTCTGAGTCAAGACTGCAGAGCAAAAACATTTATGGGAGCGACTAGGGGACAATCCATGGTCTGCTTGGACTGGAACACAGAGTTCTATGATGGAAGTCAAAGTGATTCCTTTGCCAGCACCTGGGGACAGACACACATAAGGATAAAGATAAGAGGGAGGAGGGCATCCAGGATGGCCCTGTGTTTCTGGCATGCTCTCTTGGCAGGACAATTGTATCTTTCCCTGAGACAAAGAATCCAGGGGAAAAGCAAGGCAGGAAGATGATGCCTTCAGTTTTTGACAGGAGGGGTTGGGGTGCCCTTGGAACAGCCATATGGAGACATCCATTGTCATGTGGGTCTGGAGCTCAGATTGGGGTTTGGGAACCAGTATGTTTCCTCTGTCTGTGTCACGGGGTTGATAATATCTCTCAAAGCTTTAAGGTGATGATTGGTAAGATAACATGTGCAAGGTTGGCACAAACCCAGCACTAACCTGGGTGAGTTAGTGTGATAGTGATGATCATGCTGAGTGGAAGCCTGTAGCTAACAGAGAGCATGAGAAAAGGGATAGCATAGAATCCCTTCTGATGCTCCCTTGCTTCCTAGCTAGGCAAAAACCTTCCCTTTGTCTACTTGTGGACCGAAAGTCTCTGAGTCCCATACGAGTACCTTGTCCCCGCCTAAGGACTTGTGTCCTGGGCCACTGCTGCTGTCCCCCTTCTCCCCACACTGCGTGACCACTGCAGAGTCTTCATGGTGGAACATCTTATGGGAAGAAGATGACACTCTGGTGGTACACAGCTGGCTCCTGCATCTCTGCCATGGGCATTACGTTAGCTCCCTGCTCATTTTCCCTTGTGCAACAAGCTCCAGGCAGATATTTGGCTAACAAACATTTTAGTGAAAGAGCCTGCCATGCTCTTGAGTTAAAAACTGATCCTGGCAGGGGCCAGCCATCCCCAAGCTTCCCTTTGCTCTGCTGGCTCCCACTCAGTTGTCCATTCCCACATCCACACTCACAGCCCCAACTGTCAGGCCTATCAGCCACCGAGTGCATTTTCACTGCTGTGTCTCAAGGCACATATAGAGCTCCCTCCTTGCTCTCTCCTCCACCCCAGACAGGCCATCTGTTCCACCTGCCTGCTGTGATCAGAGTTCTTGCTGTTGCCTGTCTACCTAGACCAGGAGCAGGGTCCCTATCTGGGAGTTTTACCTTTGCCGTCTCCTCTCCCCTCTCTGATCAGCCCTCCAGTCCTGTGGAGAATGTGTCTCGCATTTGTTCTTATCTTCCAGGACAACCACCCTCCTCTGCAATCCTAGTGTATATAAGTGTGCTCTGTTCTGCAATGCAGGACTCAATAAGCCCAAGGTTATGCACATCTGTGACTAATTTTTCACCATCTGGAATCAGTTGTCCTTTAAATTGCTTCTTGCAAGAAAGATGTTTCTTCTCCATCTGGATTTTAAACTATTCAAGCCTATGGGACCAAATTTCTCTGCCATGTCCTTGCCTGCCCTTTCTTCCCACTCCCTCTGAATCCCTGGTACTGAAGGCACAGCAGCGCTCAGTTCACCCTCAGCTGTGGCCTGGGGCGGGGGGCTGTCCTTATTATAGGGCATCGCTATGGCACTCAGTATCATGTCCCCGAGACATCTGACGACAGTTCTGGACCAACTGCAAGAGTATGGCACTAAACTCACTGACAAGGATACATCATCCATCCTCAAACTGAAGAAGGTGACGGCATTCCTGGGGGCACTGCCAGCATCCTGCACAAAGCCTTCCAAGGCCTCTCTCACCCCAGCCTCTGCAATTCTCCCAGGCCTTTGTTCTCCCAGAAAGCCTCATCTCTGTTTCTCAATTTAGTGTCCTGCTGCCTGCCCTTTCCCTGCTCCCTCATGCCCATGTCAGACCCTGCCATCACCAGCCCTTTTACCCCCCACCCCCCAAAATCATTCCCCATTCCACAGTTCCATGGTCCCTTCCAGGACCCCCCAGCAATATTTTCCTCTCTGAGCCTCCATGTCCCATCAGGCAAAGGGGATGAGGGAGGTGAAGGCAGGTTTCCCTTCCCCCAATAGGAGCTGCAGCAAAAGGAGTGGGGGCTGGTCTGTCACACCATCTACTTGAGCTACAGCACAATGATTTCAGAGAGGAAGGGTGCCATCTCAAGGCATCTGGATTCCATCTTGGCCTTGGTCCTGCAACACTACCACAACTGTATTGTGGAGAAGGTACTTTGGGTCCACTCTGCTTCCTACACATCCCAGTCCTGCCTCTGCCCCTCTTCCCTCCAAGGGAAACATGTCAGGCCTGGAATACAGCTCAGGGCTCTCGTCAGCCCCTGTTCCCTGCCTTACTCTTCAGTGCATTAGTCCTACCACTGGGAACTTCTGACTGGTCTGAGGGGTCAAGAGGGAAGGGACACAGCCATTTGAGGTCTGTTGAAAGTGTCTCCATCCTTGGCATGCTCTATGCCCTGTCTTTGGGCTCCTAGGAAGGGAGGAGAAATGCCTAAATTTCCTAACTGTAGGGAGAAGCATGTAGGGAGACAGAGGGAGCCCCAGACATCTTTCCTGCCTCTGCTGCTTGTCCAGAGCACATGTCCCTAGGGCAGGGGGGCTACTCTTCCCATTCTCTGTCTACAGGGCCACCCAGTTGGCCATACTCAGGGTAGATCCTGTGCTCAGTGGGAAGATGCTGTCTTGAGAGACAAGGAGGCCAGACCCACCCTAACGTTGGAGCTCCAGGAGCCCCTGAGGGTGCTGAGGAGAAGGGAGGCCTGTTCCCCCACAGGGCTACCACAGGCTGTCCCTGTTCCTTATCGGCACTCAGAGGGAAGAAGCAGGGCCTTGGCCTTTGGGAAGGCTCAGCTTCTCATCCTCAAGACTGCACATGGGAAATGTCCCCAGCCCCAGGGTCATTCCTTCTCTGGGAGGATTCTGAGCACACTGGTTGGTTCAGGATACGACTCTGAAGCTGGCTTATCTGGATGCCCTGTCCCACATGACAACCATCCTGAGCAACCAGCCCGTCTACTTGCCAATCAGAATTCCCCACAAATTAGACATTGTAGCCTTCATGGGGGTGAGTACCATGCAGGAGAAGTGGTAGAGCACAGAGGGGAGGGAGGATGGTCTTCAGGGGACCCCTTGGTAGGACTACTGGACTAGGCCCACAGGAGAGAAATGCAGGCTCCCCAGTTTTCTTTTTCCATTGAACTTCTCCCTTTCCTGTCCTCAAAGTGGGGGTGAGGACTATGGGGCAGGGGTGGGTGAGAGTGGGAGAGAGATAATGTTCTTTGAATATGGTCCCCTGAAGTCTCTGAAGGTTTTAGGTACCACTGTCTTGTGAGCAGGGCCTCGAAAGGAGGTGAGGGAGGCAGGGAAGACAAAGGTGCTCATGGTCCTCCTGGTCTCTGGGGGTTGGGGGTGTCACAGGAGCTAATTAGGGAGGAGCCACTGGACTGCATCTCCAGCTCCATTAGGCGGACAGCAATCAAAGTTGTCAACGACTTCAGGTAACAACTATCACCCACTCTTTCTGCCTTGCTCTGGCTTAATTTCAACTCTTTATTCCCTGCTCCCTCCCTACCTCCTATTTTCTCCTTAGCTTCTAACATATGGGACACCAGGAAGTAGCAGACATCTACTGGACAATGTCTGCCCTTTCTTTTGTCAAGATTTTGTGAGTGGGATTTCATGAGCATGGGGCGGGGCCTCCCTCCCCATCTCCCCAGGGCCTTGCTGTCACCTCCACCCCAGGTTTCCCTTCTGCTTCCAGGTCCATCCCTGACCTCTCTTTCCCTTTAGATGTCTGGGGAACCAAAAAGCAATACGTCACCCTCAAACACCAGGCACCCATGCCTCTAATCCCTGTGCCTGCTTTCAGTCCCTTAGTTCTTTGCTTTCTGTTTCCTGGCCTTTTACCATCTGTTGTTTTTTCCTTTTTCTTCTTGCAATTTCCTTTTCCCCTGATATCTTCCTGGTTCTTGCTCTGCCTACCCCTCTGTCCCCACCATTTCTCTCTGCACCATCTGTCTTCCTTTCTTCAACTGTCATTCCTGGCCACTGCTCTCTGGTCACACTCTGCTTCACCTTGAACCTTAGGAAGTTCGAACCTTTCTTGGACACGGAGAGCAGAGCACACTTCCTTCTCACATGCTACAAGGGCGTGTTCTCCCTGCCCTCCTTAGAGGTCCTCCTGGAGGAGGCGCCTGATCCCGCGGAGGGCCAGGCCAGAGAGGTAAAGATAGTGACATATTTGTCACCTTGTTTTATTATTTATTTTTGAGAGGGCATAACAGATAAATTTGGCAGTTTTATGGAAGGATCTTTCTACCATCTTTACCAAAAACAATTTTTTGTGATAGGGCGAAGGGGCTCTGGGTAGACCACAAGACATTCCCTCCTTGGGAGATTCGTTGATGACCACTGTTACCCCATGAATATTCTGGCCCAAAGGTGGACACTCAGTCCTACCCTTTACAACTGTCCCACAACTGACACCAGTCTGGAAGGTTAAAATATGATTTTACTTATGGCCCATGGACTTCAGGGATTTCCCAGAGGAGGAGATCTGTGTCCATCTCCTGCAGGACCATAGGTGTTCCCGTGAGAGGAGGGGGGCTGGGTGTTTACATCTGCATGCCTACGTTTCACTCCTAGGAACTCTTCTATATTCTCAGATCCTTTCTCCTGACTGGTTGTTCTTATTTTACTTATGCCACAGTCTCCTGAATTTGTCTGAGGACATTAATAAGAATTTTTTTGGCTGGGTATGGTAGCTCACACCTGTAACCTCAGCACTCTGGGAGGCCAAGGCAGATGGATGGCTTGACCTCAGAAGTTGGAGACCAGACTGAGCAAGAGCAAGACTCCATCTCTAATAAAATAGAAAAACTAGCCAGGTGACATGGTGGGTGCCAACCAGCTACTCAGGAGGCTGAGCAAGAGGATTGCTCAAGCCCGGGAGTTTGAGGTTGCTGTGAGCTATGACGCCACCACACTCTACCCAGGGTGATAGAGGGAGACTCTGTCTCATAAAAAAA